AGGTCAATCCCTAATCTGTACTGGTGCCTGGGGTTATTCCTCCCCAGGTGCAGGACCCTGCACTTGTCCTTGTTGAACCTCATGAGGTTCCCTTCTGCCCAATTCTCCAACCTGTCCAGGTCCCTCTGAATGGCAGCACAGCCCTCTGGTGTGCTGGCCACTCTAACCAGTTTTGTATCATTCACAACTTGCTCATCTCTCATCATCAGTCACCTTCATTTTACAATCCTGCTTTCTATGCTAACCACATAGAAAACTTAAAGTTTTACCAAACATTGTTTAACCTTGCCTTTTTACTATGTGAGCATATGATATTTCCTACAGTAATATTCTTGGGACCGATTAGAAGAATACATGTGATTAAAGAACAGACCAGTCTTCGTTTAACCCTCCAGTCAGTAGCTAGGAGAAGGAGCAGTTGTGTTACAGTGGGTAAAGATCGTGGTATTGCACGTACCTGCTGAATCATAAGCTTCTCAAACTCTTCCACAATCTCAGTCAAACTGAGCCACTTGAACCCAGGGAGAAGTCCAAGGATGTGACTCCCTATCTTCATGAGGAACAGATCCATCTGGACTTGGTGGACTAGCCCAGGGTGCAGAACCTGGGCAAGAAAGTACAACCAGATCAATTGCCGAAATACTGTAAAGACAAGAGGCCATTTCAATCAGCAAAAATAATACATTCCAAATAGTGAGAAGTTGGCCTACAAAGCCAGAAATTGAAAAGGCTTAACTGGTTAGTTCTGGGAGGAATTTACATTTTTCTATGGGTTAAGTTGTGAACAAACAGAAGCAGAATAGCTCCATGCTATAGCCTGTGAACTCACCCATTCCCATTGCTTTTGCTCTGCATCCCTCTCCCTGCCACGTAGTATTGATTAGCATTTGGAATACCTTGTGCAAGGCTTGCTGGGCTAAAGGCTTCTCTGATCCAGGTTCTGCACACAAGGAGACAGGAGGTGCTTCATTTTATGGTGAGAGGCTTCATTCTTTTCCTGTCACTTAGCCTCTTCCTATCACTTGGCAAACACTACTCTGGTGCGCATGTGCTACAGGCAGCATGAAGTCTAACAGAGCTCCAGATCGGCAAGAGCTGGTGCCGCCGCACATCAAGATTGGTGCTGGCTGGAACCAAGGGTGGATAGGAGATGCTGAGTGGGGACAAGCACCACTTCCCTCTGCTGCTCTGGGCCCCTGCTGCTCTACTCATCCTCACGGGAACTAAAAGACGACCAGCCCTGCCCAGCGCGCTCTGCTTTCACGTCTACCGTTTCACACAGGACTTACTTTAACGGCTACAGGTGTCAGATGTCTGGCACAAGGAAGGTTTGCACTCCGGTGCAGTTGGTCCATCTGCTGCCCTGGGTACCGGCCTTTCAGACTCAGCTCCTGCCCGCTCTTCTCCTCCAGCATCTCCTCACCCCTCCTCTTCCCCAGCCACCTGAAGAGGCCTCCAAAACCGGCGACCCG